CCCAAGAACACCATCCCAAATGTCAAACATGGTGGTGCAAACATTCTAATTTGGGGGACAGGACAACTGAACCGCATCAAAGGGACGATGGATGGGGCAATGTACCCTCAAATATTGGGTGAGAACCTTCTTCCCTCAGCCAGGGCATTGAAAATGGGTCATGGATGGGTGTTCCAGCATGACAATGACCCAAAACACACAAGGAGTGGCTCAAGAAAAAGCAAATTAAGGTCCTGGAGTGGTCAGACCTTAACCCAATTGAAAATCTGTGGAGGGAGCTGAAAGTTCGAGTTGCCAAATGTCAGTCACCAAACCTTAACAACTTGGAGAGGATCTGCCAAGAGGAATGGGCCAAAATCCCTCCTGTGTGCAAACCTGGTGGCCAATGTCTGACCTCTGATTGCCAGCAAGGGATTTGCCACCAAGTACTAAGTCATGTTTTGTGAATGGGATCAAATGCTTTTTTCCCTCATGAACATGCAAATCAGTGCATCATTTGTTAGACATGCATTTCTTTTGAATTTTTTTGTTGCTATTCTGTCTCTCAGTGTTACAATACACTTACCATTGGATTTTTCGACTGATCATTTCTTTGTGAGTGGGCAAACATTCAAAATCAGCAGGGGATCAAATACTATTTCCTTCACTGTATCAGAAAGTTAAAATAAAGCATGCCTTGTTGTGCCGGATGGTTGGCTAGTACACAGAGAAGAAAGTCTGACAGTAACACAACCACTGACAAGTCAAAGTCAAGAGAGCATAGCATTTTAGCCCAAACTCAAAAAAGCCTATAGCTGCCATATCTTCCAAACTAAGGGACGTAGAGGACGTTTCACAGGTTGCAGGCAACCCCTTGCGGGAGAGCCAAGACGTACAGAAATCACAGGTTGAGGGCAACCCCTCGAGAAAGCCAAGAAACAGAGGTAAAAAAAAAATTAAAGGCAAAGGAAAAAGGGAATGGACATCAAGAACACCTGAATCCTCCCGGAATGGTTGAACGAATTAAAGGGAGGTAAAGCTATTCGATGAAATCTCAGGGTGGGCATGCTGGATCCAGGGAGTCCAGATTTTGAGGAATCTCGTGGGTGACTGAGAGGATACTGGACAGTTTCTCATTTAGTAAGAAAGAATCTAGCCAACGATGGATTTCCATAAAGGGCACAAACTGCTGTTTCCAGGCTTTTGCAATGGCTTGTTTGGCCGCCAGGAGGACATGGGTGGCCAATTTAAATTGGTGTTTAGATATGCCCGGGGGTTTTAAATGTAGAGAGTATACCAGGGGTCTCTTGGACAGGGTCAGTGTGAGTAGCAATTGGAGTAGTTTAAGAACCTTAGACCAAAATCTAGAGAGCATGGGTCATGTCCACCATATGTGGAGAATATCGCCTGGTGCATTACAGCCTCGGAAACAAGTGTTAGGGGCGGACGGATGGAGAAAGGCCAAATGAAACGAAAGGGACAACATACTATCTTGTCACTGTTTTGAAGGCCGATTCCATAGTGAAGATATTAATGGAGCATGTGGCAAATGTGAACATATCTGTGTCCAATTTGCATGATCTTTAGTGCCTTTAAGGTCCCTCTCCCATCTGGAAACGTGAGTGTGATTATTAAGATTCTGTAGATTAGTCAATTTTGAATATACAGTGGATATAAAAAGTCTACACACCCCTGTTAAAATGTCAGGTTTCTGTGATGTAAAAAAATGAGACAAAGATAAATAATTTCAGAACTTTTTCCACCTTTAATGTAACCTAAAACTGTACAACTCAGTTGAACAACAAACTGAAATCTTTTAGGTGGAGGGAAGTAAAAATAAAAAAACTAAAATAATATGGTTGCATAAGTGTGCACACCCTTAAAATAATAGTTTCTTGAAGCACCCTTTGATTTGATTCCAGCACTCAGTTTTTTTTGGGTATGAGTCTATCAGCATGGCACATCTTGACTTGGCAATATTTGCCCACTCTTCCGTGCAAAAACACTCCAAATCTGTCAAATTGCGAGGGCATCTCCTGTGCACAGCCCTCTTCAGATCACCCCATAGACTTTCCATCGGATTCAGGTCTGGGCTCTGGCTGGGCCATTCCAAAACTTTAATCTACTTCTGGTGAAGCCATTCCTATGTTCATTTGGATATATGCTTTGGGTCGTTGTCATGCTGAAAGATGAAGTTCCTCTTTCATGTTCAGCGCATGCGCGGCTCTGGGAGCGCACAGCGCGGCGATCGGTTGTGTGCTGTGTCCCTTGGACACAGTTGATCGCCAATCAACGGAAAGAGCCGAAGATGTTGGCTCGGTCATGTGATCAGCTGTGCGCAATCACAGCTGATCACATGTAAATAAGGAAATGCCAGTTATCGGCATTTCTCTCCTCACGAGCTGTCATGCTGACAGAGGAGAGGAGATGAGAGTCAGTAATCGACATTCCTTAGAGAGGACATGTACACTGATCATCAGAGCACTGATGATCAGTGTGCCCTGATGATCTGTGTAGCCCCAGCAGTGCCACCTGTGAGTGTCCAACAGTGCCAGCTGTCAGTGCTCATCAATGCACACAATGCCATATCAGTGCCTACCAGTGCACATCAATGCCACATATCAGTGCCCATCTGAGCTGCCTTTCAGTGTCACCTATCAGTGCCAGTCAGTGCCATCTATCAATGCCAGTCAGTGCTACCTATCAGTGCTGCCAATTAGTGCCATTCAGTGCCGCCTATCAGTGCCAGTCAGTACCGCCTATCAGTGCGCATCAGTGCCGCCTATCAGTGTGCCTGCCTATCAGTGCTGCCTAATCAGTGCCAGTCAGTGCCACCTAACAGTGCCAGTCAGTGCTTCCTCAGTGCAGTGCCAGTCAGTGCAACCTATCAGTGCCAGTCAGTGCCACCTATCAGTGCCGCCTGTCAGTGCCATATATGAGTGCTGCCTTTCAGTGCCCATCAGTGATGCCTGTCAATGCCCATCAGTGCCACCTACCAGTGCCTCCTCATCAGTGCCCATCACACCTATCAGTGTCCATGAGTGCAGATTATCAGTGCCCATCACTGCAGCCTCATTAGCGCACATCAGTGAAGGAGAAAAATCACTTATTTACAAAATTTTATAACAAAAACTAAGAAAAAACTTTTTTTTTTTTCAAAATTGTCAGTGGTTTTTGGTTTGTTTAGCAAAAATAAAAAACCCAGAGGTGATTAAATACCACCAAAAGAAAGCTCTACCTGTCTCAAGAAAATGCTAAAAATGTTACAAATTACATGCACTTTGTGACAGCCACTGGAAATTTTCAGAGGCATTTGACTGTTGTTAAAACATGAAAAAGTCTATCTTTCTGACCCCTCCAGCGTGGCCTTCCCAACCATGTGCTTTAAAAATTGCATGCAGCTCTAAGGGCTTGGGTACACGTTAGCACTTACTGCCTTTGCCGCCACCTTTCAGAGGCATTTGACTGCTTTAACCATGAAAAAGCTGACCCACCACTCCACAACCATGTGCATTGCATGCTGCTCTCACCTAAATGGGTCACGTTTGGTGGCAGTACCATCTGCTGAATGCAACATGCAAAGCATCATGGATGCAAAGTGTACAGCCCTGAGTGACTGCATGCCCAGGTTTTAGTAGGGTGGTCAGGGTCAGGTGGTAAAACTGTGGCTCAACAGTCTGCTTTTAGTGAATTTTTTCTAGGCATAATCTATGATTTATGACCCATTCACAGGTAAGCGTTCCATTGCAATGCCATAATGCACATGCATTAACATGCATTATGGAATACATTAACACCTATTGCGTTAATGTGAGATGGGGAAACAGCTTTCATTGTTTGAACACTGATTGAAGTAAATTAAAAATGTTCTGACTGACATTCTGCAGTTTAGCTACAAGATGTCACTGTTTTTTCTAACACAGCCTCAGGCTGTATAGATATTTCTATATTCATGAAGAGGTGGGGTTTTACACTTGGAGAGTGAACAGGAAAAGGAGAGAGGAGCCATGCTTGAGAGAGAGAAGGGGGGCTGTGTGATCTGAGAATCCGATGCCATCCAGATGTGAGGACAGCCCTCCGTGATCAGAAATTCAGTTGAGTGAAGCTGATGGTGTTCAAGACGCTAACCCTGTTAAAAGAAAGGAAGATTGCTTCCAGGAAGCTGAGGAACTAAGCAATCTATATATTGTGATATTGCATGCTTAGTGGAGAGACAGTTGTTCAGTTCAGAGTCACCAGAGGATGCAAAGCAGACCCGGGTTGGAAAGATGGTGCACGCACCTCATTTCAGTGTTGGCGCCTATAGACTGAGACAGGCCTACAGTTAGTTAGGGTCTCTGTTTGTGTCAGGCCACAAGTGTTGTTACTGATCATTGGAAGGACTCTACAACTTAAAGTGACATTTCACATTGGAGAGCTGATAACATCCCACAAACTCAAGCCAGACTGGCGTTTTGCTCAGAAGGAATACTCAGACACGTGATACAGGACCAGTTATGGGAGGGAGAATACTGTAGATTTGTGTAAGATTGTAAGCTGTTGTGCTGCACCACAGGCTAGCCCATACCATACACCCATACACTGATTCCTGCTCTTTTAGGGTAATAACAGGTAAGGTGTGGCAGCTTAGTTGTGCCCTCCAATAGGTAAATTACTACACTTTCTAACTTCATCCATCAGGAGGCGCCGTGCTGTGCAGCACAAGGGTCTCAGCCTTTGGGCTGGGTGTATGTAAATTTATTGTATATTCCAGCATTTGTGGTTTTGTTTATTTGCCACATCTAAGTAAAATTCTGTTGTGACAAAAGCTGGTGTTGGGGTTGCTTTCCTCGTTCGTGACTTCACTGTATCCTGGGGAGCCCACCCCGGTACACGGCTTACATTAAAGCAGCCTATTCATTGTGAATGAGCTGCCAACGCACCACATGACCCTTTTTTTTTAACAATGCAGCGCACCACAACGTAGGAGTAATTTTGGTAATGTACTTTGGTGCATTGTGCATTGAGCTCTTCTATACAATGTGTTGGGGTGCCATTCACAATAAATGTGCTATACACAGAGCAGGTGCATTGCCATGCGTTGTGTTATTGTACATGTTTTGGCGCACCTTGGCACAACGCACAAGTGTGAATGGTCCCTCATTAGTACAATGTTTACTTGATCGTATCTTCTGCATTTGCAGCTAATGAAGGAGAAAGTCTGCTGGAGAAATGCAGAGGCAATACAGGAGTGAGAACCCCCCAAAGACCTCATTTGTGCGTTATCGCAGATTACCAACACGGCCCAGTGCCTGTACACAGGAGAGGGAGGGGAGATGGCTTGTTACTCCTCTGTGCTGCTGTTCCCACCGATGATGACATCTCCTATTCAATGTACTGCGGGATGCAGAGACTTCACCATGCAAAATAAATGACAGAATAGCAGTCAGCAGAATGGGGTCTTTTCTGCATCTTTCTGTACATAGACAGGGAGGGATGTACATGACATACGCCTTATACATGACATACAGCATCTTGTTTGTTTTCTGATAGCTCACATTCACTGGCTCACTCCACCAGGGACGGACTGACCATTTGGAAACTCAGGCACTGCCCGAGGGCCCGGGGTCAGTAGGAGGCCCCATGAGATACCCCTGGTACCTTTTTCATAGGCTTTTTTGAGTTGGGCAAGGACACAGGGGCCCCATGATCCCCTATTGCCCGGGGGCCCCATGAGTTGTCAGTCCGCCCCTGCCCAAAGGTGATATTTAAGTTACAGGTGGAGGCTGATCGGTTCCTTACATCTTGTATACTCCAACTGTGAGATATCCTGATGGTATTTCCCAACTCTGTCTCTGGTCACCTGGGAGGTTTGTAATCCAGCTCCATCTGTTAAATGCTCCATAATACAAATTAAATACAAATTCATCAGGGATGCTGAGAACCTCTTATAATGGGCACAGCAGGGGTGCAGACCTAGGAACACAGCAAAGGGATGGTGGGAACCCCTTATAATATGCACAGCAGGGGTGCAGACCCAGAAACTCAGCACAGAGATGGTGGAAATCCCTTACAATGGGCACAGCAGGGGTGAACCCCTCCAGACTGGGACCCAGAAACTCAGCACAGAGATGGTGGAAATCCCTTACAATGGGCACAGCAGGGGTGCAGACCCAGAAACTCAGCACAGGGATGGTGGGAATTCCTCATAATCAGCACAGCAGGTGTGCAGACCCAGGAACTCAGCACAGGGATGGTGGGAACCCCTCATAATCAGCACAGCAGGTGTACAGACCCAATATAGGGATGGGTGGTAACCCCTCATAATGGGCAGCAGGGTACAGACCCAGAAACTGAGCACAGGGATGGTGGGAACCCTGCATAATGCGCACAGCAGGTGTAGAGACCCAGGAACTCAGCACGAGGATGGTGGAAACCCCTCATAATGGGCACATCAAGTGTACAGACCAAGGAACTCATCACAGGGATGGTGGAAACCCCTTATAATGGGCACAACAGGTGTACAGACGCAGGAACACAGCACATGGATGGTAGGAGCCCCTCTTAATGGGCACAGCAGGTGTATAGACTCTGGAACTCAGCATGGGAATAGTGACAACCCCTCTTAATCAGCACAACAGGTGTACCGACCCGGGAACTCAACATAGGGATGGTGGGAATCCCTCATAATGGGCACAGCAGGGGTGGAGACCCAGAGACTCAGCACAGGGATGGTAGAAACCCCTCATAATGGACATATCATGTGTACAGACCCAGGAACTCATGCACAGGGATGGTGGAAGCCCCTTATAATGGGCACAGCAGGTGTAGAGACGCAGGAACTCAGCACAGGAATGGTGGAAATCCCTCATAATGGGCACAGCAGGTGTAGGAGACACAGGACCTCAGCACGACGATGGTGGACACCCCTCATAATGGGCACAGCAGGTGTAGAGGCCCAGGAACTCAGCACAGGGATGGTGGGAACCCTTTATAATGAGCACAGCACAAGGATGTGGTAACCCCTCATAATCAACACACTAGGTGTACAGACACAGGAACTCAACTTAGGGATGATGAGAGCCCCACAAAATGAGCACAGCAAGTGTACAGAACCCAGAAACTATGTACAGGGATGGTGGGAGCCCGACACAGTGGGCACACTATGTGTGCAGACCTGGCAACACAGCACAGGAAAGGTGGGCATTCCTCATAATGGGCACAGCAGATGTGCAGACTCAAGAACACAGCACAGGGATGTTGAGAACCTCTCCTAATGGGCACAGCAGGTGAACAAATCCAGGAACGCGGTTTAAAGAATAGTGGGGGCCTCTCATAATGGGCACAGCAGGTGTGCAGACTCAATATTGAGATCTCATCAGTGGAGTCTCTGAGATATAGACGGTCATGTCAGGGGGTTTAACTTTCCAAAATCCACCAAATACTGGAATATCAATGTTTAAGTATGACCCTTTCAGAATGCTTTCATCTTTATGTTTTCTGACTGCTGTGGCAGGTAAAGCCACTTAGATTTCTGACCATCTTCATCTTCAGTAGTTCTAGAGCTACTTCTATACGGCTGTAATCTTTCCTGGGCACAATTTCCCTGTCACTGGTTGACGTGTCTTTTATTTTCCGTTGTTCGTTGTTGAGATAATGAGCCTGATGAGAAGACTTTACTACAAACTGAAATACTCATTTTTGTTGAACTGACCCATTACATTTATCAAAATGTCACAATAATTGTTGTGGCTTCCACATATTTACCTTCTTGACTGTTTGATGATTGCAATTCATACACAATGGCCCATCTATATGTCGATGGTGGTGGGGGGATTCAGGGGTGCTCAGTTATCATCAACCCAAGGAGAATGTAATACATGTCTTGATTTATGTCTGATATACATACTGTATTTAGGAAAATAAAAAACACTTGTCGTGTGCTTGCTTCACAGAACATAAAAGTCCCTCTCCTCTCCCTCGTTTAAACAGAGACTGCAACATTCACTGCTGGAAGATTTGACCTTTAGAATTGAATGTGATTGTAGCAGGAAAACACTTGTGCCACCTCTCAGAGTCTTTTTTCATTATCTGTGTTACCATCCCACTTCCCTCCATGCAGTGTTCCCTTTACAGCCCTGTACACAACACTGAACACTCTTTGCACCTCTGTTTGCACCACTTTCCCCAGTGCTCTATAATTCGTGCTATGGCTGCCTATAGCTTTCCAGCTCTAAGATCAGCTTACACTTGTCCTGCCCTGGCAATAAGTTGTCCTGACAAAAAAGCCTGTTTATTGTATTATTTATTTAGTGTTTGGTATGTTCTACTCTACCTCCTGCTGTTAGAATTAGTTTAGCCCCTTGTAAAGCACTCCTAGCCTCTGCTAACTACAGTTCCTGATCCATCTATGTTTAATAAGGAAGCTATACAAAAGGAATGTCTTTTTATTGTACACAAAAGGTAAAAAAAAAATCCATCTATGTATGTATCAAGCTTGAATAAATCATACTGGATTCTAAGTTCAAGTCTTCTTGGTGAGCTGACACTGCCTGTGGATCTTGTCAAGTCAGCAAGTTAACATAATATCCTCACAGACTGTGTCTTGGGAGGTATACATACCTTTCAAACTTTTGAGAAGAGAAAGAGGAAAAAATCACATTGAATTCTACTTCTGAGTCTTCTTGCTGAGTTGACACTGCCTACAGATCTTGTCAAGTCAGCAAGTTAATAATAATGTCCATACAGACTGTTTCTTGGGAGGTATACATACCTTCCAAACTTAGTAGAAAGAGGAAAAAATCACATTGGATTCTACTTCTGAGTCTTCTTGCTGAGTTGACACTGCCTGCAGATCTTGTCAAGTCAGCAAGTTAATAATAATGTCCATACAGACTGTTTCTTGGGTGGTATACATACCTTCCAAACTTAGGAGAAAGAGGAAAAAAATCACATTGGATTCTACTTCTGAGTCTTCTTGTGGAGTTGACTGCCTGCAGATCTTGTCAAGTCAGCAAGTTAACATACTGTCCATACAGACTGTGTCTTGGGAGGTATACATACCTTCCAAACTTTTGAGGAGAGAAAGAGGAAAAATCACATTGGATTCTACTTCTGAGTCTTCTTGCTGAGTTGACACTGCCTGCGGATGTTGTCAAGTCAGCAAGTTAACATACTGTCCATACAAACTGTGTCTTGGGAGGTATACATACCTTCCAAACTTTTGAGAAGAGAAAGAGGAAAAATCACATTGGATTCTACTTCTGAGTCTTCTTGCTGAGTTGACACTTCCTGAAGATCTTGTCAAGTCAGCAAGTTAATAATAATATCCATACAGACTGTTTCTTGGGAGGTATACATACCTTCCAAACTTAGGAGAAAGAGGAAAAATCACATTGGATTCTACTTCTGAGTCTTCTTGCTGAGTTGACACTGCCTACGGATCTTGTAAAGTCAGCAAGTTACCATACAGACTGGATGTTTAGGTGGTATATTTTTTGCGTATGGCAACATTTCAGACAGAACAGTAGTGTGTTGGCATGCATGGTCTAATGTCCAGCTAAAACGTTGTGTAAGTGGCAATAATGCATATCAGTGTGTTACAAATCACTAAGACTGACAACCATTCTGTCTGTATTTAACCACTTCCTGTCCGGACACTTTCACCCCCTTCCTGTCCAGGCCAATTTTCAGCTTTCAGTGCTATCACACTTTGAATGACAATTGCGCAGTCATGCAACACTGTACCCATATGAATTTTTTAGCATTTTTTTGTGACAGATAAAACTTTATTTTGGTGGTATTTATTCACCGCTGGGATATTTTTTTTTTGCTATATAAATGAAAAAGTCCAAAAATGTTGAATAAAAGTGTTTTTCTTATAACATTTTGCAAATAAATAATCTTTCTTCATAAATCTTGACCAAAATGTACTCAATTGTCTTTTTAGTAAAAAAAAAATAATAACCCAAATTAGTTTATAACCAAAAATTATACTTTTTTAAAAAAATTTTTTACATTTTTATTTAATTTTTTTTATATTATTATTTACGTTTTTTTTTTTTACATACTGTCACCCTAGCAGTACAGTGTCACCATGGTGACACTGTACTACTTGTGGGGGGTGATGACAATTTTTTTTTTTACACTGATTGCTTTTACACCCCTAAAAGCTGTAAAAGCAATAATTTCTCCTTCTCTCTGGCTGCATTCCTGCAGCCATTGAGAAATACTGTGAGAGCTGTGATTGGTCAGAGCTTTTCACATGGTACAAGGCTGTTGTGAATAGCCTTGTACCATGTGACCTCTGTGATCATTCACAGATTTCACACGTAGTAAGCAATGATGTCAGAAGCAGGGGCGGACTGACCATTTGGAAACTCGGGCACTGCCCAAGGGCCCGGGGTCAGTAGGGGGCCCCATGAGATGCCACTGGTACTTTATTCATAGGCTTTTTTTGATTTTGGGCAAGGACACAGGGGCCCCATGATCCCCTATTGCCCGGGGGCCCCATGAGTTGTCAGTCCGCCTCTGGTCAGAAGTGACATCTTGCTTACTACTCTTCATGTGATCACTGATTGGCCAGTCAGTGATCACATGATCGGGACCTCACACAGAGGTCCCGTACAACGATCAGTGTTCCGGATCGTGCACCGGATTGCGGTGCTGCGCACTCCCAGGGAGCGCGCACAAGCAGGGAGGACGTTTCTAAACGGCCACCCGTCCCTGTACTGCTCCCGTCCGGCCATTTATATGCATGGGTCGGACGGGAAGTGGTTAACTGTGGCCCCTTCCTATAGCCACCCGCCCCTGTACTGCTCCCGTCCGGCCATTTATATACATGGGTCGGACAGGAAGTGGTTAACTGTGGCCCCTTCCTATGGCCCCTATGTCCTGCAGTGGTGGGGTGGGACATCAGGAGATGCAGGTATATAACTTTCCTGAAAGTGTTGGATGCTGAGGTTTCTGCTGGAGACAGTAGCTCTTGAAAAAAGTGGAGTTCATGACCAGGGGCGGACTGACCATTTGGAAACTCGGGCACTGCCCGAGGGCCCGGGGTCAGTAGGGGGCCCCATGAGATGCCCCTGGTACCTTTTTCATAGGCTTTTTTGAGTTTGGGCAAGGACACAGGGGCCCCATGATCCCCTATTGCCTGGGGGCCCCATGAGTTGTCAGTCCGCCCCTGTTCATGACTCATCACAATAGCAGAGAGGTAAGTATTAAGAGGTTTTTTTTGCATCAAGCGTTTGTTGGATTTTGCTTCAAGCGACAGATTCACTTTAAAAGCATAAACTGTGTTAATGGGATTATTTACATGGTGATTGCATTCCTATTCACATATAAAATGGGATTAAATAAAAAGGTTCTCGGCTTTCCTAACACACATAACGCGGTAATGGTAAAGTTTACTAGGAAATGTTATTCTGGCTGAAGTTCTACAGTATACACTAAGAATGCTATATAAAAGAAGACTGAAGTGCTCGGGTTTATAACCAATGCACCTAAATGTGTATCCGGGATTGCAAAACCTTTCTCTGCAATGTCTCTATCTCCAGTGAAATCAATTCTCTCCTCATTAGTTCTCAGAAGTCCGAGGATGTGAACGATGAACTTACTGTTCAATGAACAATACAGCATCGGGACTGAAAGCTCAGCGGGAAGTAAAATTAGATTGGAGTCTCAGGGTTTGAATAATACACCTGTCATAACTCGGCGCGGTCCTCCGGAGTATTATCTGACTCCAGGCACAGAGGAGAGCAAAGACGGCTTAACGGGAATGTATAGTCTATTCAATTAAGTTTTTCGGATATGCACGTAAAAGAGACCGGCATGATGTAGATAATCTCACCAATGCGTGTTCATATTAAAGCACAAGTTTCAAGAGAAAAAAATTGAATAGGAAGACTCTCTATTGCAGAAGGGACATTCTAGGTCTCTTCTGCAATAAAACAAGCTTACTTTCCTGGTCAAAATGTTTTCTCAGTATACATTCCTATCACACCTTGGTACCAATGAATGAACTCCCATGCGCATGTGAGGGGAGCAATGTATTTTCAGCCTAGGCCAATCAAGAGACTGGGTTCAGTTACCCGGGTAGAGGCCAAAGTGACAAGTTTGGTCAGGAGCCAAAGCCAGGGTCATACATGGTTGATCAGTAGGGCTGAAGATAACAGAATGGTCAGAAGCCGAAGCTAGGGTCACACATGGTTGATCAGTAGGGGTAAAGATAGCACTGTGGTCATGAACCAAAGCCAGGGTCATACACTGTTGATCAGTAGGGGTAAAGATAGCACTGTGGTCATGAACCAAAGCAAGGGTCAAACATGATTGATCAGTAGGGGTAAAGATAGCAGTGTGGTCATGAACCAAAGCCAGGGTCATACATGGTTGATCAGTAGGGGTAAAGATAGCACTGTGGTCATGAATCAAAGCAAGGGTCAAACATGGTTGATCAGTAGGGTTAAAGATAGCAGAATGATCAGAAGCCAAAATCAGGGTCATACATGGATGATCAGTAGGGGTAAAGATAGCAATGTGGGCACGAACCAAAGCAAGGGTCAAACATGGTTGATAAGTAGAGTTAAAGATAGCAGGTGGTCAGAAGCCAAAGTCAGGGTCATACACTGTTGATCAGTAGGGTTAAAGATAGCAAAGTGGCCAAGAACCAAAGCTAGGGTCATACATGGTTTATCAGTACAGATGAACATAGCAGAATGGTCAGAAGCCAAAGTCAGGGTCACACTTGGTTGACCAGTAGGATTAGAGATAGCAGTGTGGTCACGTACCAAAGTCAGGGTCATTCATGGTTGATCAGTAGGGTTAAAGATAGCAGAATGGTCAGAGGCCAAAGTCAGGATCATACACTGTTGATTATTATTATACAGGATTTATATAGCGCCAATAGTTTTCTCAGCGCTTTACAGTATGTTGATCAGTAGGGTTAAAGATAGCAAAGTGGACAGGAACCGAAAGCAGCGTCATACACTGTTGTTCAGTAGGGTAAAGATAGCAGAATGGTAAGAAGCCAAAGTCAGGGTCACACATTGTTCATCAGTATGGTTAAAGATAGCAAAGTAGCCAAGAACCAAAGGCAGGGTTGATCAGTGGGGCTGAAGATAGCAGAGGGGCATTAAGGGGAATGGGGCTAAAAGCACCAAAGATATGGACAGAAGCCAAAGCCAGGGTCATACACAGTTGATCGGTGGGGCATAAGATAGCAGAATGGTCAAAAGCCAAAGCCAGGGTCATACACAGTTGATCAGTGGGGCTGAAGATAGCAGAATGGTCAAAAGCCAAAGCCAGGGTCATACACAGTTGATCAGTGGGGCATAAGATAGCAGAATGGTCAAAAGCCAAAGCCAGGGTCATACACAGTTGATCAGTGGGGCTGAAGATAGCATAATGGACAGAAGCCAAAGCCAGGGTCATACATGGTTGATCAGTAGAGGTGAAGATAGCAGAATGGACAGAAGCCAAAGCCAGTATTATACACTTAAACGTAAGAAGCAGAGTCCTGCGACAAGCCAGGGTCACAACCAAGAATTAGACAGAAAGATATCCAAAGCTAAGCAAGTTGGTAGAAGGAAATCAAGATATACACGGGTCATGGACAAGCCAAAGATAGTCCAGCAAATATCTGCTACTTCTTCCTTTAAATAGGGTGTTTGGCGCTAGTATTGGACACAAACGCACAGGCGCCTGCATGCACAGAATTCTGTGTGACATACCTGCAAACATTTTTGCTCAAATGAACATGCCCACGCAGGATACTGGCAGAAGTTACAAGGGGAAGTGAGTTTACATCTACTTTTTTTTTAAAGAACTCTTTTCTTTATATGCAGCATATTATTGTAATTATGAATGATCATGGGGATAGCTATTATTGCTTATTACATATACTGACTCAGCTTCCTTTTTTGTAGTGCTACACAGTGGTTGTGTTTTTTCTGCTCCTTTTCATAATGTAAGTCTGTGAGTTGGCTGAACCAAACAACAACTGTTAGGGTGGAGTTCCAGTCAAAACTTTGTTTGTGTGGTTTTGAATCAGAGTTTGAAAGGTTTAAAATCTCTTTAGACAGGATGCACACATTATTAATCTGTTAAATAATGAGTGACTTTTTTTTTAGCATTGAAGCACACCACAACACGTGGCATGTGCATCGTGGTGCACTACATCCTACGTTGCTCTCTGCTGTACATTGTGTTATGGTGTCATATACAACAAATGGCACTGCAATGCAGCAAGCATAGAGCAGGTGTCTTACATTGCATAAGTATAAATGGGCCATTAAGGTTTTCGATGTTGGCACCAGGGGCGGACTGACCATTTGGAAACTCGGGCACTGCCCGAGGGTCCGGGGTCAGTAGGACCTGGTACCTTTTTCAGAGGCTTTTTTGAGTTTGGGCAAGGACACAGGGGCCCCATAATCCCCTATTGCCCGAGGGCCCCATGAGTTGTCAGTCTGCCCTTGGTTGGCACACTTCCATGCGTGTTGTATGCCTGGTTTCCCAGCTGAATTATGTGGTTTCTTCTGTAGGCTTGTTAGCAATTGCAGGTAGCTTGCCTGCCACTAGATGTTCCCAAGGTAGTCTGGTATAGGGGTAAGTGGTAATTGGGTGTTAGCCCCCTTTTAAGAAGAAAGCTTCCTTTAGTGATGTCATGGGTAGAGTTAGTGCCCATATAAATGCTAGGATGGGAAGGGTTTCGTGAGTTGGTATATGGGAGCCAAGTACCCCAAAGCTAGTAAAATGTAGTCAGCTGGATGTAGTTGACTGGGATCAACACCCAGTATGACCAGCTGTAGTTGTCCTAAGTTTTGAACAGTTGTGTGTGGGCCATGAGTGGGATCCAAAAGGCCTTTCAGGCCAAGCCAGAGTCCTTTGAAGTGAGTACTAGTACAACTGGAAGTGAGGGTACTGTTGGGGAGCAAGCTGGCTGGGCAGAACCATGGAAGGGACACTGAGAGAGAGACTGGTATATCAATGAAGGCACCTTCCTTACAGGGAAGCTGAACGCTGTGGATTTAGTATACATGGGAGAGTGCTCCCAAAAATGTGGTGCTCCCAAGGATGACCAGTTGTAGTTGTCCTAAGTATTGAACAGTTTTTGTGTGGGCCATGAGTGGGATACAAAAGGCCTTTCAGGTCAAGCCAGGGTCCTCTGAAGTGAGTACTAGTACAACTGGAAGTGAGGGTACTGTTGGGCAGCATGCTGGCTGGGCAGAACCATGGAAGGGACACTGAGAGAGAGACTGGTATAACAATGAAGGCACCTTCAATACACTTGTTGAGGGAAGCTGAATGCTGTGGATTTAGTATACATGGGAGAGTGCTCCCAAAAATGTGGTGCTCCCAAGGAGAGGAGGTGATAAGGGAAGATGGCTTACAAAATATTATGCTGCCATTCTGAGTTCTGCTCCTGTGTACGACGTTCCACACCAAAGATTTCTGTCCATTTGTCAATGTGATGTCAGATGTTACGGTCATCTTTGAGAAGCTACAGTAAAGTGTGGAAAATGTATTCAATGTTTTGACTCTCTTTTATTCTCAAATATTCAGACCAGGGATGCCATAAGTGGGTCTACAGCCAGGAGTTTGGCACAGTATGGTAAAAGGTTCCATCTACCAGCAGGGGCGTAGCTGTCCTATCCAAGAAAAAACCGGGGCAGGGACTTACACCATTTTGCACCAACACACAGCCAATCACCTGCCCCCTTACAGGCCTCTATGTTACTACTGCAGCACCGGCATGTGACACTTCCAAAGGTACTGAATATGGAACATACTTCGGTAAACTTGGCTCTCCAGCTTGGTGTAGGACAGGTGAGTATTTGTTGATTTCTGTGCAGTGATACTTTCATTTAGTTCTTTAACAGAACAGTTAATTGGCCAAATGATCAGACAGAGAGTAACTGTAACTTGCCGTTTACTAAACAGGTAGAAAATTAGAAGCAAAAATACAAAATAGGTTCGGGATGGCAAAACAAAAACCCCATGCATATACTGCAGAATAATGAAAGCCGCACAAACATGGCCACTTCACAGCAATGTCTGTGTGACTCAATGGGGGTAACATGTGGCTGCATAGCATAGTCTCTATAAAACAATAGATGTAGGGAGCCTAGCTGAACCTCACTAGTATAGTAAGAGACCAGAACACAAATAGCTACTTTGTGGATA